GCCGAATATGTCTCGGATCTGGAAATGGTCGTCGACTGCTTCCCAAGACGCGCGCATCTCAGACCGAACCTGAGGCGCATCGCCGGTGCAATGCACAGGCGCGCTGCCCATCACCCCTGATGTGGAAGGTCGCCAAGCCAGGGGCAGCCGCCGCCGCTGCGCGCGTCCGAAGGCATGACAGGCGGAACATCGCGGAATCGCAGCAGCGAGTAGGGAAGTGAAATCTCCGCGGCAATTCTTGCTCCGGGGCGCGAGGCCAGCGAAAGCAAGGGCTGCAGAAATTGCTGCGGGAAGACAAGGCGCAGTGTCTGGTGAAATCTCCGCTGCGCGCTCCATCATGTGTGGCGCTGCGGTCTCCAATATGCGTAAACGATGGGACTGCCACTAGAACCACGCGCGCTTCGCGCGCGCTTAGGTTCTAACATGCTCTAGTTGTAGTCTACGAAGTGTTCGGCGCCGGAGGGCGTAGATTGCCCCGCGGATCGTGCCGCTCAGGAAGCTTCTCTTGCGGCCCTAAAGACGGACTTGGCGTAGCGTCCCCGCGCCCATGCCGGCGCGCTTCCCACAGGGATCGCGCCCCGCAAGGAGCTCCACCTTCGTTCCTAGAGGCGAGGTCCGCATAGAGGCACGCCATTCACGCGGACCGTGCCTCGCAAGTAACTGCATTTGCGGCGCCATAGGGAAGCTTCACAGCGCCGCCCCGCTCACTTCGGCACCCCTCTCAGACAGATCGCGGCCCGCAAGGAGTTCCACGGGCGGCCCCAGAGACAGGCTTCGCACCCCGCCCGCCCGCCTTCGTCGGCACGCCTCTCACGCGGATCATGGCCCACAGGGATCTCCACCTACGGCCGCAGAGGCAGGGTTCGCACTGCGCCCCCCACTTCGCCGTCGTGGTACACCCCATCACGCGGATCGCGCGCGCAAGGAGAACAGCCTAAAAGCCCAGAGACAAGGTTCGCACAGCGCCGCCCCGCCCATGTCGGCACACCTGTGGCGCGAATCGCGCCCCAGGAGGAGGCCCCCCCCATGGCGCCAAGGGGCAGCTTCGCGCGGCATCCCCCCGCCCTCTTCGGAACATGCTTCGGGGGTATCCGAATTATTCGGCATATCCTTCACGCGGACCGTGGCCAACAAGGAGTTCAACGCTCCCCTGCACGCGGGCTCCGCAGCAACCATCTTTCGGCATTGCCCCGTGGCGCGCAATGTATGAAGAGAGACCCGCGATCTGCACTCCACATGTCTGCGCAGGGATGGGTCCGTCACCAAACCCATTGCTTGCTTATCTATGGCCCTCGGCGATACCGCTACCGTCCCTGAGTTTGGGGCAGCTGATTCTCGGATACATGTAATTTGGGGTCTCTTGGCATGCTTCTCTGGCGCCTCGTGGAGCGAGTTTTGAAACTTCTCGTGGCCTGTCTTGTGCCCTGTGGGAGCTTCTCGGGGCCTCTTTGGGGGCCCTGGGGGGCTCTTGGGCGCCTGCTGCGGCCCGGGGGGCGCGTTCGTGGCGGAGGGCTCGAATGTCAATTGGCATTCCCCCTCTTAGACTCCACTTGGGGCCCTCTTGGGCGCTTCCTGGACCGTCTTGGGTCTCATTTGGGCCGTCCTGGGGCCCTCTTGGAGGCCTCTGGGGCCGTCTTGGGTCGATCTGTGGGGCCTCTTGGGCCGTTTAGGACGCCGTGGAGATCCAAAGTGCGGATGTGCGAAAAATGCACGATTTCGACGAGGAGTGGAACAATTTTGGCATCCTGGGGCCATCTCGGGGTGCATGTTGGAGCCTTCTTGGAGCGTCTTCGGGGCCTTTTGAGCTGTCGTCGCAACATTTGGGCGCCTTCGGCCCTGTCAGGTCGATCCGATCGCTTTTGGTGGCCTCCTGAGCTGTTTTGGGAAGCGGGGGGGGGCCCAGGAGGCCCCGGAAGGGGTCAAACATCTTGTGGGCCAAAGGGGGGGGGGTGAAGGCGAAATCTGGGAGACTGTCCCGGCCTGTGTCCCGGGCCCCCCGTACCCCAGCGATATATATGTGTATATATATATGTATGTGTATATAGACATGCATCTAAATGTATATTTACACTTATTTTTACAATTTCAGCACACCAATATATATATATATATACACACACACATACATACATACATGGGGCGCGCGCATAGCGGTGCCCCTGCTTTTCTTGCCAACGTCATCATCTGAACGGCTCACTTAAACATGTAACGCCCCCTCGCATAGTTCATCTTCTGTGTAGGCGTGCTCGTATTAATCTAAAACATATGCGCGTGTCTACACGCGCGCTCAGTCGGGGCAAGCGCGAGCGACTCAGGCGCCCCCCCGCCAGACTGACCTGCCGACGCCTAGTCAAACCACTTGTGCGCGGCCCAAGCCCCCGCCTGCCACTCGAAGCGCTTCTCCTGCACGTTCACCTTCGCGGGGTCTGCTTCGAAAGTGGAGAAGTAGTCCACAAACCTCGACCGCCTGGTCATGGAATCGAGCTTGAGCGTGTCGGGGACCTTCGCGTGCGGGGCATTGTTGCACTGCCAATTGAAGGCGGTGGATGATGATGATAATGCTGATGCTGATGCTGATGCTGATGCTGATGATGATGATGATGATGACGATACTGATGATGACACTGACAATGGTCATGAGGATGATGATGATGATGATGATGATGATGATGATGATGATGATGCTGATGACGATGACGATGCTGAGGATCATCATCATGACGACGACGACGACGACGACGACGATGATGATGATGATGATGATGAGGATGATGATGATGATGATGATGATGATGATGATGATGATGATGATGAGGGGAGGAGGAGGAGGAGGAGGAGGAGGAGGAGGAGGACGACGACGAGGAGGATGAGGAGGAGGAGGAAGGAGAAGGAGGAGGGGAGGAGGAGGAGGAGGAGGAGGAGGAGGAGGAGGAGGAGGAGGGAGGAGGAGGAGCAGGCAGGATGGGGGGCATGGGCAAGAGGCAAGACGAGCAGATTGAGGCATTATGAGTAGGCAGGAGGAAGAAGCACGATGATGAGTCGTCAGGAAGAGCATGATGAGGAAACCAGATGATGTGGGGACGAGGATGCGGGGGAGGACGACGATGATAATGACGATAGTAGGATGGTGATAGTGAGGCATAATGTTGACGCATGTAGATGATGATGATGATGATGATGATGATGATGATGATGATGATGATGATGATGATGATGATGATGATGATGATGATGATGATGATGATGATGATGATGATGATGATGATGATGATGATGATGATGATGATGAGATGAGGAGGAAGAGAGGAGGAAGAGGAGAAGGAGGAGGAGGAGGAGGAGGAGGAGGAGGAGGAGGAGGAGGAGGAGGAGGACGACGACGACGACGACGACGAAGGTGTCTGAGGTGTCCAGGGTGTCCGGGGTGTCCGGGGTGTCCGGGGGACGTGTCCGAGGTGTCCGGGGTGTCCGGGGGACGTGTCTGGGATGTCCGGGGTGTCCGGGGGACGTGTCCGGGGGACGTGTCCGAGGTGTCCGGGGTGTCCGGGGGACGTGCCCGGGGGACGTGTCCGGGGGACGTGTCCGGGAGACGTGTCCGGGGTGTCCGGGGTGTCCGGGGGACGTGTCCGGGGTGTCCGGGGTGTCCGGGGTGTCCGGCGGACGTGTCCGGGGACTTGTGGGGGACTCTAATGCAGCGAGCGCATGTGATGTGTCCGCGTGCTGGCCTCTGGAGATTCGCCGATGACGCCGCCATCCGCTGTGAGAGGTCGGCCAATGCCGAGGAGACGGAGCTCCCTGCATGGCCGAGGTTCTCGAGGATGGCGTGGGCGCGCGGGAGCTCATATGTTCGTCCGAAGCGGTGCTCGTGGCGCCCAACGGCGAGCTGTCAGCCAACCTATCCGGTAGTCTCGTGGCCATGGGCATTCCGCACTCGGCGGCGGACAAGGCGGTGGACCTCCGCATCGACACCGCCTCGGGCCGTCGAAGGGTGCGCACCGAGGCGTCGGCTCGCGTCGCTGCTGGAGCCTGGCGAGGTCAACGGGCGATGGGCGCGCTGCCGTAGTCGGTCTACGGCCACCGGGTCAGTCTCGCACCACCTGGTCTGGTACGGCAGCTACGACGACGGGCTGCGACGACGGTCTGCGCGACCCCCTCATTCCCTTGCGGGTGCAGCTGGTGGCGTCGTGGTGCAGCCTCTGGTTCTCCGACGCGTCGCTGCGCGGCCGCATCAGGCGGGCATGGCCCAGGGTCCTAGGTGCCCTGCGGCATGCTGGCAATTGGCGCTGGAGGCGGGTCCCCGAGTGAGGTTACACACGGACCCAGCCAGGACCTCGCGGCGCTCTGGGGGGCTGCGGTCTGCGCAATTTTCGTTTTTTTTGTGGGCTCCTGGGATGCCCTACGGAACGCAGGGCGCCCGCACGGTGTGTGCCCACATGGCACATGGCGCGTGGTGGCATCGCGTCATTTAGCGCGCGGCGCTGTTGTATCACAGAGCGCGGGGCGCCAAAACGTCACGTAGCGCATCGCGCTGTCCTCAATGGCCCACTCCTGCGCAGGTGTGCGACGCGCGCTGCCCGACATTGTTACGCGAAGGCTTTCAGAATGTTGCATATCTCGCCACATGTTCTTCTGTATGGAGCATTCATGCAAATAGTCGGCTTGCGTCCCGGGGTCCTGTTGAGCAGGAGGAGGGGGAGCAGGATCAGGCGGAGGAGGAAGAGGAGGCGGAGGAGGAGGAAAAAAAGAGAGGAAGTGGAACAGTAGGATAGGTGACAGGTTTATGAGGTGAAGCGGCCGGGTTTGTAAGGTAAATCTAGCCGTTGTGCTCACCTCTATAACCTTGCGGGCTTCTCCGCTTTTCCCACCTTTTTCGTTCTCTGATCTGGTCGTGTTGCGCGCACTGCGAGCATGCTGTATCGTGTTCGCGCATGTACGCTTCCATCTCATCAGCGCGAGTGTTCCAGCGCTGCTATCGGTTCGATCAACGCTTCGGTGCCTGGCAGGGCTTTGACGTTCTGTGGTCCCTCAGCGAGCCTTCGGACGCCTGGGCCATCTGCACCGTCACGTCCCCCGTGACCGCAGAGGTGCTGGACCGCCACCCTCAGTGCAAGGCGCGGAAGAGGATGGATTGCGGAGGGAGGGAGGAGGAGGCGGAGGAGGAGGAGGAGGAGGAGGACGAGGAGGAGGATGAGGAGGAGGAGGAGGAGGACGAGAAGGAGGAGGGATAATGGAGGGAGGGAGGAGGCGGTTGGACGAAGGATTGATGAGGGAGGAAAGATAGGGGGAGGAGGGAGGAGGGGGTCTGATACTGTCGACGAGGACGGGTGATTTGGTCCAAGGGGAATCCGAGCCCAGGTCCTGTTCTGATGTTTTGGAGGACCCTATTTGGGGCGAAAGTTGGGATGCCCCACAGTTCCTGACCAGGTTTGGGGTCGTCGGATCCGCTGGAAACCCAAGGAGGTGGTCAAGGCAGCCGTGTTTTGACTGTCAGGAGTGTTCGGCATTGGCGAACATGTTTTCATTCCCGTGGCATCGCATGAAGGAGGGAAGAGGGAGGAGAAATGAGGGAAGAGAGTGGAGGGAGGAGGGAGGACGAGGGAGGAGGGAGGAGGGAGGAGGGAGGAGGGGGAGGAGATGGAGGAGGAGGGAAAGGAGGAGGAGGAGGGATGAGGTGAAAAGTCGTTCTTCAGACCCACCACAAGGCGCACCGAAGTGCGAGCCACAGCTGAGTCCGACCGCAGCGACGAGGAGGAGCCCAAACCAGGGCAATAAAAGCCCGAACTGCGGCCGCGAACGGCACAGCGCAGCGCCGCTCAGTAGAACATGGGTGCAAGCAATGCGGTGCACGCCGTGTGGTGCAACGTATGCGGTGGGAGCTATGTGATGCAAGCTTTTTTTCCTGTGCAAGCCCTCACCGCGTTTCTTGGGGCGTTCTGGGGGTCTCTTGGCAGTCCCGGGGGCCTCTTGAGGCGTCTTGGTTGCCTCTGGGGGCCCCTTGGAGCCTCTTGGGGGGGCATCTTTGGGGCATCGTGGGGAACTCCTGGGGCCTCCTGGCTCCCGGGCACCTCTTGGGGCTTTCTCGGGGCACCCTCTGGGGGCCTCGGGGGCCATCTTGGGGCTGTCTTGGAAGATCTCGATCAAAGGAGGGGGGGGCCCTCACTTAGGGCCCGTCCCAGGAGGCCAACGCGTGGCCAAACCCTTAGCAACATCAGCGATTCTGGCCCGACTCGCCGAGGCCGCTTGGGGCGTCTTGGCAGCCTCTTAGGGGGCCTCTTCGTTTTTTTTGTTATCGCTTAACGTTTCTCAACAGTCTGTAAGTCGTATACACAATTATATATACACACGTAATTCTAATTACAATTTAGATCTTGGGGTCTCTTCGGGGCCTCTGGGAGCCTCCCGGGCACCTCTTTGGTGCCGTTTCGGGGCCCCCTTGAGAGCCTCGGGGGCCATTCTGGGGCCACCTTGGAAGAGATCGATCAACGAAGGGGCCGTAGTACATCGGGGTCCCTTCCCTAGGAGGCCAACATGTTTCCAGCTCCTTGGTACAGCCAATGATTTTGGCTTTCTCGTCGAGGCCATCTTGGACGCTCTGACGACCCGCGACCCTGCCCGTCCAGGTCCAAGGGGAGGGGGTAGGGGGAGGCGTAAACCCTTCCCCGCAGGGGAAGAAGGGGGTTGGAAGAGGAAGCGCTCTAGACCACTCATGCCCTAAAGGGCTGGTGGGATTGGACGCTGGCTGAGGAGCCACTCAGGTACCTTGAACCGCGACAGGTGGTTCTTCTTCCTTGCGAGAGGGGCGACGTGGCGGTCCGCCCACAACGACGCCGTACAGTTGCTCGCCGACGACGTGAGGGCGATTGACTTCGATAATTGAGCTACCGACTGAGAGGCCAGCCACCTCCGCCACCCTTGAGGCAGCGGTTGGACTTCCAACGGTTCTTTGTCTCCTCAGTGCAGCATTGCTTGTGTGCTTCTTAGTATCGTTCATCTGATCCCGATCCCCATCCCCGTCTCCTTCGAGACTCCCACCGAATTACCACCCCAGCTGGGGATACGCTCCTCGAAGCCCGAAGGGAACGACCAAGATCCCCATCTGGGGGGGTCAATCGGCCAGTGGGCCCAGGCCACGCCGCTGGGGGTGGGGACCGGTCAAACCACACTCAGCTGTGCCGAAGGGTCCCAGGGGCCTTGGGGGATGATGCGTCGACCTCACGTCCTCCCGGGGTGCTCGGCCCGGCGCTCGGGCCCGAGCAAGGCCCCAGCACGGCTCTGCCTGGCCCCGAGGAGGAGGAGGAGGAGGAGGAGGAGGAGGAGGAGATGAGGAGGAGGAGGAGGAGCAGGAGCAGGGGCAGGAGGAGGAGGAGGAGGAGGAGGAGGAGGAGGAGGAGGAGGAGGAGGAGGAGGAGGAGGAGGAGGTAGAAGAGGAGGAGGAGGGGGAGGAAGTGGAGGAGGAGGAGGAGGAGGAGGAGGAGGAAACAGAGGAGGTGGTTTTGGTATTGG